AAAAAGTTTTCAAAAAGTTAAATTTGGAGAAAGATCTGAAAAAAGTCAACATTTTAGAAAATTCTGAAAAAAGCTAATTTGCAGAAAAAGTCACATTTGGAGAAAACTTACATTTCTGTACAAATTGAGAAATCTGAGAAGGTTCAAACCAGAAAGTGGACATATGTGAACTCCCAGGGGTCCGAGGTTTCAGGTCTTATCATAGCTGTCGATAGATGTCTGGCCTTCGATGAGCGTCCTGTCGCCCTACTCAGATTGGTGTGTCCCGCCCCGTTGTGTCTTTTCGGCCGCGGCAAAATAAATCTCTGATTGGCTGTTCAGCTCAGCGAAAACACTATTTGCCTGAATGGGAGTGGAGCAGTACAGTACTTAAGTACTTACAAGTGTTCATACTGGGTGGTTTATTTAGTTTGAAAATGATCCACCGATTTGCAGACGTCTCTTTCCCGATGTAACTCAATGGGAAAAAGTGTTTCCGGGCCAGCGTCTGATACGGAAGTGTAGTACCGCCGTTTGGCCACGACCAATATTTTCCTCAGAGTCCGGCGCACTTCCTGGGGGCTTGTGTTGAACACCCTCCTCTCTCTCTACAGGTGGTGCTGCTGANTTCACACCGCAGTACTTTTCCCACAAAGGTTCATGAGAACTTAGTTCATCAGAACTCTTTAGTTCTGATTAACTAAGTACAGATCGCGTTCACACTCGAATAAATCCCTGGGGGTGGATTAGGCAAATGAAGCCGCTGACGTCACTACTTCTTCTTCTGCTTTGGGTTTACTGGCAGGCCGCAAACAGCTTCACGGCGTATACTGCCACCCGGAGTCCCCGGCCGNTTTTTTAAATGTTATTATATTGTTCTTAAAATAGTTGTATCTGTGTTTTTTAATTTTACTTTTATGTCTGCACCACGACACCAAGTCAAATTGCTCGTACCTGGTTCTGAATGTTCAGGTTTCCAGTGTTTCCCCAGGATGGAGTCATAGCAGCTAAGGCCCAGCGCAATGTGAGCGCGGAGCGCGTGGAATCTTTTAGCCTGTGCAAAGTGCGCCCCGCCAATTTGTTTCTATAGGCGCATTCACACCGCAGTACTTTTCCCACAAAGGTTCATGAGAACTTCGTTCATCAGAACTCTTTAGTTCTGATTAACTAAGTACAGATCGCGTTCACCCTGGAATAAATCCCTGGGGGTGGATTAGGCAAATGAAGCCGCTGACGTCACTTCTTCTTCTTCTGCTTTGGGTTTACTGGCAGGCCGCAAACAGCTTCACGGCGTATACTGCCACCCGGAGTCCCCGGCCGGAAGTCCCCGGAGTTGGGACTGGCTTCAGTAGAAGCTGCTGGGACTCCCAGCAGCTTCTACTGAAGCCTTCAGAGTAAATCGCCAGAACGCCGACACCTCCTCATCTCCACCGCTCCCATGTTTTATTTTGTGTTGCCATAAGTTAGTCTCTCTGCGTTTCTGCGCTGGGCTAATGCTAATGCTAATAATGCTAATGCGAGGATAATAAAATGGTGGCTTCA